CACTCTGGCTTTAACTGCTGGTTCATCCAGTGTTAAAGTTGGAGCAGTTTAGCTACAATTGTATCCTTCCCAGCTCCCTCACACTTAACAATTAGAAGATTACAACTTCTGCCCCTTTTTGAAACAGCTCCAAAAAGGTACTTGTGTCCATAACCCAAAAAGTAGACAAGTGACAGATCTGAAGTCAGAGCTCAAGCTCCTGAGCACCGCAAGTAGCAGCTAAATCACAAGGGTCAGTCCTGCGAGCCTTTACTCATGTGAGCAGTCACTAAAGTTCTCACGTGATGAAGGATTTGCAGATTTGGGCCTTTAAAATGAAAATAAGGGTCAATGTCATAAAGGAATTATTCACTGGCCTTGTGAGTCTATTTTATCAACCAGAAACCAGCAAAAGAAAAACCTAGATACATTTTTATCTGCAGAACCATGTAGGACTCCGGTGAGCATAGGAACAGCACTAAATCACACAGATTTTGCTGGAGACAAACTATGCATGACAAGCTTTGCGCCGTCACAACCAAAACAGGTGGCATCTTGAACACGGGAGCCGTTAATCGTTGAGAATAAACCACTCGAGCTTGTTAGCTCAACGGACACATTTCGAGCTTGTCACGATCAACTGTTCCTGCAAACATTTGGCAGCGCCATTCAAAACATTAGCCCGCAGATCTCTGTTGGGGCTGCCGACTCCCAGCCCTTCATTACTGCAGGAAACCATACTGCTGAAGGAAGGAGTTGGAGCCTTTCCCCAAAGAGCTACGCAGAACCTTCAAGTGCTAGGACTTAGCACCCCAGCCACATCCACCTCCTGCTAGAGGAGGAGTAGCCTCATCTGCTGCCAACTGCACAGGCTCCACGCACGAAATCGGGCAGACACTGAACAGAACGGGCCGGCCCAGCCCAGGGTGTATTCGGGCCGCAGGGCCAGCCGTGGGGCCAGGTGGCCTGTGGCAGGCGGTGGGCTGGGGGGCGAGGGGCGGGCCAGGTGGCGGGGCAGGCCGTGTCCCTTACCTTCTCTTTGGTTTTGAGGTACCGCTGGAGCGCCTGCTGGGTCAGGTCGCAGACACGGAGCTGCCCATCCTTGCAGGGAACCACGATCCCCGTCTTGCCAAAGCAGACGGTCACTTTCATCTCAGCAAGTGGCGCCAGGCAGGGCCAAGAGCACAGCTAGGACAAAAAGAGAGCGGGAGGGAGGCTTAGAAACAGAGAGAGAGGAAGCGAGAGAGAGGTGCCCTGCTCCCCAGCGCTGGCCGGAGAGAGGGGGTGGGGGGGGAATTTGGCAGCGCAGCGGGGGCAGGAGCAGGTGCCTGCGCCCCGCGGGGCAGGGCACGGCAGAGCAGGGGGCTCCCGCACCCCAGCCCCGGGCCCCCGCGG